TAGACCCTTTATCCCCATTTCTTTTCACAATCTATGTTGAATACTTCAGTTTGATGCTCTCTAAGATTGAACATCATGGTTTCTTTTCGGGTTTTAAGATTGCTAACTCCTATATTGTGATTTCTCACTTACAATATATCGATGATACCCTAATCTTTTGTGACGCCGATGCTACTCAAGTTACTCAGATTGCAAGGTTTCTGGAATGTTGCGAGGTGACCTTGGGCATTAAAGTTAATTTCAATAAATCTTCAATTATTGGGATTAATTGTATAGCTTCAGAGTTTGTAAATTTGACAAATTCGATTGGATTTAAGGTGGGAAGCTTTCCTGTTACCTCCTTGGGGATTTCGATCTCATATTCGAGACTCTCTATCTCAGTATGGGATAGGATTATAGAGCGGGTTCAGGTAAAGCTTGACCTTTGGAAGCCCAAATCTCTCTCATTTGGGGGAAGAGTAACCTTGCTTCGTTTTTGCCTGACCAATCTGGCTGTCTACCAAATGTCTTTGAATTCTATCTCAGGATCAGTTGCAAATTAATTGGAAAAAATGATGAGAGACTTTCTATGGTGCTTCTTTGAAAGAAATATAAAGTATCACATTTTGAGGTGGGATAGAATATGCACTCCGAAGAAAGAAGGTGGTTTGGGGATTCGCAAAATAAAAACTTTTAACCTTGCGTTATAATGTAACTGGTGGTGGCGCAGCCTTCATTTGAACGACCATCTTTGGTATAAAGTTTTACTTGCTAAATGTGGTATGGATAGATCACAATTGTGGTTGGGAAGTAATAGGGGGCAGGATTCGTCGCTACTGTGGAGATCTCTATTGAGTTGTAGACCTATGATTTCAGGTTATTTTCGCTGGGCTGTTGGAAGGGGTGAGAAGGTTTCATTTTGGCTGGGGGATTACCCTTTGAAATCGACTTTCCAGGATCTATACAACATTATAACAATACCCAATTTAAAAGTCAATGAGGCGATAGATAGGAGAGGGCAAAATGTTTCTTGGGACATACAACTTGCATATGGACGTCTAAGCAATGAGTTTCTCGACCAATGGTATCAACTTATGGAGTCCGTTGATGAAGTCTATGTTTCTATCAACGGTGAAGATGAACTGATATGGGAAATTGAAAGTAATGGCTTCTTCTCGGTGAAATCTTGCTATAACTTATTTTTTCATGATCGATGGAGATGGTTGAATAGTAACATTACACAAATGTGGAAATAACCAATTCCCTATAAGGTACAGATTTTTATTTGGTTGGCAGCAAATGATAAAATTCTAATTGTGGACAATTTGATTAAGAGAGGAAAAATTCAGCCTAATGTGTGTCTCTTATGTAAATAAGATGCTGAACATGGAGCACACTTTTTAATTCATTGGTCATTTACTGCGAGGTTGTGGTATTGGTTGCTTGGGATGGTGGGTGTTCTAATGCCATTACCACAATCAATAGGGGGTATTGTATCCTCTTTGAAAGTCACTTCTTTACCAAAAACAGGGCAACAAATTTGGAAAATTTGTGTTGGTACGATCCTTTGAGAAGTGTGGAGGGAGAGGCATCGAACGACCTTTGAGGGAGTTATTTGCTCCTTTGATCGTTTGCTCCATATTTGCAAGACTACGATTTGGGCGTGGTTGTCAGTTCAAAAGGAAGGTTGGGGTATTAGTAAGGTGGATGTTATGGTCAATTTGCATAATCTATTCTCTCTTGGACACAGTACTCCTCGTCCTATAAGTATTTGGATTGCTCCATGCCACGATAGTTTTAAGCTAAACTTCGATGGGAGTTTTATTTGCAACCCAGGGTTGGCTGGAATTGGTGGTATTTTGAGGAATTGATATGGAAGTGTTGTTTTCTCATTTGTTGGGCCCATAGGTGTCAAAACTGCTAATTTTGCTGAATTAAAAGCTTTATTGTGTGGCTTGAAGATCTTTTTGGAGAAGAATCTACACTCAAGCTGCGTTATTGATGTGATTCTCTAAATGTGATTAAGTGGTGTAGATTGGAGCAAAAAGTTTTCTGGGAACTTCGGTCTCTTTGGTTGCATGTCATGGATTTAGCGACAAGTTTAGCAGTATCCTTCTTGCAAGTTTATAGGGAGGCCAATTTTGTAGCTAACCTTCTTACCAAAGGGGGTACTTCTTTATCCTCTCTAGTTGTTTCTGATGATGTTAGTTCCTTAGATTAAAGTCTAATAAACGTATTGATCTTGCTCAAAAAAAAGATATTGAGAAATTGTACGAGAGATCGGTGAACTTGGAGAAGAGATTGGAAATAACTTGATGGTTGACATGATTAGAAAATACATATTATCGAGAAGAGGGTGCTCACGATTATGTAGATTCAACACTATCTAACCCTATCAATGAATTAAACTCTATGACTGACTTGGGGTTCTAATCCTAAATGTAATGGGCAAATATGGAGGCAAGAATACACGACCTGTATAGCATCCATGACATGTCGGTATTGAATTCGATTTTCCCAAGTTTTATGAGGATCTCGAAAGAGGAATCAAAATTATGTTCGACTTCCATAGTTTCACTACAAGATGCTTATTAACGGTGTGTCTATTTTGATATAACTTTTGGATAGTGGGAGATCCAAGTTCCACCAATCCCACTCCCATATTTGTTTTAACCCACTGGAAGCCACAAAATGGAAGTGTCGCATTCCACAGTGATTTAAAAGAAATAGGAAGTTGCTCCTTTGCGGCTTCCATATTTCCTGAAATAGGGGGCTTTCTCTTCTATAATCAAACACTTCATTAAGTGTGAGTAGAACATTTTGGGATCGATATTGTTGCAGTCTCTCTAAAAGATGTATATTCTCTCACCATTTATTTTTTATTTGTTTATTTTCTCCCTCACTGGCATCGACAAGGCAAAGAGAAAAGGAAATAAATAAACAAAAAACCAAATAAGCAAAAATAATGAGATGGGATAATCTACCTTTTTATTTTATTATCTAAAACTTATATATAGATGAAAAACCCCCAAAAACTAACTTGCTTCTCAAAAAAACTCTAACCACAACTAAATTATAACTCTTTATCCTTTTAAATTTTAATTTCCAATTATATATGTCAATTGTCTACTAGTAAAAAAACACGCAAATACATTGACTTAAATAAATATAAAGGGGTTGTATACTATGAGATTATTTATCTTTGTTACAATGAGGTCGCATTTATTCTAAGTCATTATATGTCAAATTGGGAAGCTAGGGGTATGTCACAAAGTTCGAGATTGTTTTTAAAAAGACTATGTCCACACTATATTTAAAATACAATAACTACAGACTGATACAATTTTATGAAAATATTACGCGTAAGTACACCAACCCAAATATTTGGAACATTGAACCCATTCTTTTTTAAAAAAAAAAAAGAAAAAAAAAAGCCCCACACCCTTATTTTTTTTTATTTTTCTATTTTGTTGCAATGTCTGATGTTCCAAACACTAGACTGTTTTTTTATTTTTATTTTTAATTTTGATGTAGGGATCAGTTCAGTGTTGGAAACATTGAACCATCCATCCCTCATAATTTTTTTAAAGCACAGAGTCCGATGTTAGAGGCATTAGATCAAAGTTTTCGAAAAGACAAAAAAATAGGGCGGTTTGATGTCTACAATATCGGACCGCCAACCCTTCCCATAAAGCCTTCCAAGATTTTTCAAGTCTTTATATCTTAAGTGGTTTGCCAAACCACAAAGACCCTGTGTACCATAAAAAAGTTTAAAATTTGGTGAAATTTAGTGAAGCCTAAGAGCTTAGATAAACTTGTCATTCGAAAAAGTAAAAGTGTACTCATGGGACCAAGGAAATGGGAAAAAATTCAAAAGGTTTACGGTCCAACTGACCTCCAAGAGCTTAAGTAGGTTTTTAGGTAGTAGTTGGGGAGGTCCGATATCAAGAATATCAGGCCAACCTATGTGGCTCTCTTTTTTAAAATTTTAGTCCGATATCTTGAACATTAGACCATATATTTCAAGTATAGGGCAATCCGAGGATCCAGATCTCATACCAATCCCCACATTTCAATAAATCTTAAAAATAAAATAAAAAAAGAAGTATGATATTTTCAACTTAGGAATGAGGGGAACATTCGGAAAATAAATGGACCTCCATGTAAAAAGTCCATAAATTTGAACTAGGCCATAATTACCATATTTAAATGAGGTACATACGTAATTGTTCATTTTTTAACTTTGAGTCTAGTAAATGATACTCTTATGACTACCCGGTTTGAAATCTGACAGACAATAGTGATTTCGACTTCTTTGTACATAAAGTACGTGGTCTCTTTGTGTACTTTTTTATAATTAAAATACTATATAACCTAAACCCAATTTTAATATCTATAAAAATTAGTTAAAACAAGAGATAAAAATATAAAAGCCCATTTCATCATTCACCTTAGCCAAACCATATTCCTAAGTTTGATTCTTGCCTATTGTACTATTGGAAAAAAGGAAATGAACAGAAAGAATATTACAAGATGCTAGTCCGATATTTGAAATATCATAAAAGTAAGAGGCAAGCGATTATGCCGAATACAACTTCAAAATGGTAGATCCTACCCCTCCCCGGTTGGAGATTATGAAGGTGATGAGATTTGAGGTTAAGGACGACGTAAGCATAGTCTTTTCAATGAAAATATTTTTTGTTTTACAAATGGTCTACTTAATAGCACCCTAATATCATAATATTTTTTAATAATATATAACCCACTATAGTATTAATTTTATGAGTTTATATATTTTGTTTGATAGAGTGAAATCATAAATTATGATATTCAAATAACCCTCAAATATCTTAATTCCTCCGCAATTTAACTTCTACTTGAAAGTGATTTTAAAGCTATTATGGAGATTTTTTCAAAAGTGTAAGGAGGATTTAAGATGAGGCTTTGTTTTACTTTCATATAGCCATGGTCTTATATAAACTTCATCGTTGAATCAATGGTATATAGCACTTTGGAGATGAAAACTGGAACATGTTGATAGGTTTCTAGAAACATGAGAGAGAAGCAGTCGGTCGAAAGTGGAAGCTAGAGAGAGAGAGACCGCGTAAAATCTCAGCCGTGATCCTCTTCAATCGCATCACACGCTCGCGTTAAACTCCAAAGGCCAAAACTACTCGCTGCGCATGCTAGAGAGAGAAAGTAGAGAGAAAGTTAGAGCGAGAAAATCCTCGTCCCAGAATTCAGATTGAGAAGGTGGATACTCGCCATCATCTCTAGAGAGGGAGCGAGATTTCTTCTGTATTTCTGCAATTTACAGTAGAGAGAGAAAGAGAGAAAGAGAGAGAGAGGGAGAGATGGATACTCTCCATAACCCTCAGAGGCTCATGAGACCCGTTCTGAATCCTCAACATCAGCAACATCATCAGCCGCCCCTTCCTCCCCACCCTCAAGCTCCATGGTATCCAGCCCCTGCTCAGTTCCAGTATCAAGCTCAATCCCATCTCTCAAATCAACCTCAGTGGGCTCATCATAATCAGCAGCAGCAACAGCAGTCCATGGCACCAGGATTTGGTCATAATCAAAACCCACCTTCCTCATATAATCCATCATCAATGGCATCGTCGCCTTACGCCATGCCTCTTCATCAACAGTATGGGCCGCCCCCGCCTCCTCCTCCTCCTCGACCCCTGCCTCCTCAGCATCATCATTCACAGGTTACTCCAATGTATGCTCAAGCTGATCAGGTGACAATCCTCTTGCCTCTTTCTCTCTCTCTCTC